ACCTCTTTCCCTACATGCAAGAGAACAGAAGCAATCAAACCATGATTGTAAAGTGAAAGTTTTGGTAGAAAATGGGATAAATGCACTTGTACCACCCTGTATAACCCAGCAATGCTGTCAGCATATGCCGAGGCATCCCGAGTGGAAAAGCAACATTCATCCCAAGGAAAGTTGGAGAAGAATTCTCGCAAGGATTGCCAGTTTGCCTTCCGATAGTTGGTGCTTAGAGGAGGGTGGGGAAGTTGTCGTGCCCAGTTTGATTTAATAGAAATAAGATTGTGATCAGAAGACCCTAAGGGGGCAGAAATTGAGTTTGAATAGTGTGAGGGGTTAGAGGTAAAACAAAGATCAAGAATGTTAGTAAGTTCATCATGTCAATCAGGAACGCATGTAGTTGTTTAATTATTTGTTCCAGATCATTTAAGGAAAAAGAGAGCACTGCAGCTCCACCAGGGTCATCCCTTAAAGAGCCAAGCCACTCTGTGATGTACATTGAAATCACCTGGGCAGAGGATCTCGGTGTTGGGTGTGTGGATAGCAACAACTCATGATAAGAAGTGAGATACTGTAGTCAAAGAGTTCTAAAAAGTTGGTAGAGTTGGGAAAACAGTATCGGAAACAAAAGAAAATAGTCTTCATAGTTAGTAGAGTTTTTTGAGCCAGATGACATCAGAAGGAGCAGATTCAAGATCCATGAGTTGAGCTACAGGTGTACGTGTGTTGCAGTAGGCACATACACCTCCCTTGGAACAGAAGGAGGTATAAAGGTTGTAGTTGGAGATTTGAAAAGGTTTGGGTGAAACTGCTTTGGTCAGTTGAAGTTCAGATAGTAGTAAGAGGTTGGGGGAAGAGGTTAATAGATGGTGCTCCACAGAAGGATCCTCCAGCAACCGCAGTGACATAAGTTGAGGCCCCAGAAGTTTGATGATGATCAGGTCGGCCCTAGGGTCCACAACCTTCCCGACCAGTGGGACACATTCGAGAAGGCCCCGCTTCAATATTATTGTCAAATGATATCATAGGAAAATAAAAGAATAGAAAGAATAGAACAGATCAAGAGTGAGTACGGTTAAGTATGTTGTGTTGTCAATAGTAAGAGACACAATTGAGACCGTGTAATTGTTGTGTGTAAATGAGGCAGAAAGTCAGATCAGCAACCTGGGACTTGGTCACAATTTTTGTGATGCCATATGGCAGAAGGGTCTACCATTAAACAATACATTATGCTTCCAATATCTTCCCAGGCGGTAGTACCTGCCAACCACCCCCATCCCTCAGGTGATGTGTAAGGAGTGCAATGTTTCACTGTGTCATGTTCCTTGCTTTAGCGAGTACCACACACCGAAAGAATTTTGAAACAATCATGCATTGTGCGCATTTGTGTGCAAATGTAGAGTAACAGTTAAAGTAGTTTTTTAAGTATAAATAGTTTATAAGTCTACCAAGTGAGTGCACGAGCCAGCACTTGTATTCCCACCTCTCCCACAGCTGTAGATTTGTTTTTTGTTTTTTTCATACACTTATCATGTTAACAATATACAGAAGAATGTCAATTTAAAGAGATTCAATTTAAGATTATTGACTTAAAGCCACACCCACAATTAAGGACAAGGTTTCAATTTAAAGCGAATCTTTCCTATTTTGCGCGAGTCAATCTGGCGCCTAATGTTTCTCTGGGCACGCTACACTGTCCTAAGGGCAAAACTGTACTGTATATGTACTCAAAATAATGTACTAAATGATTACTAAAATTTTTGTCTAGTGCAAACTACAGCATGATTATATTCAAATTAATCACTATCTTATAAGAATTCCAGCAATGTAAATTATATTCTCCCGGTCACTTCCGTGACATTTTATAAACAAAAAACAAAACTCAATCTAAAGGACATAAATAAACAAATAAATACTTCACTAGACCTTCGGCACGACTGTCAAACATGTCACCCCCCGTTCCTTCCTCCCTCCCAGCCAGGGTTTGGTGGTAATAGGTTTAAAGTTTTTATCTTATATAATATCTCAGACTAAAGTTAGAATATAATTTGCATTGCTGGAATCCATGCAAGACAGTGAATAATTTGAATATAGACAGCATATATTTTGCACAAGAGATAAAAGTTTTAGCCCTTTGCAATAAAATGTACTAATTTGTACTAAAATTATTATGTCTCTTGTGAACTATAGCATGTTTATATTCAAACTAATCACTATCTTATAAGAATCCCAGCAGTGTAAATTATATTCTCCCAGGTAAGTTCAGTGACATTTTATAAGAGAAAATCTTAAAGTCACTCTTAAGGACAGATAAATAAATAAGCACTAGACCTTGGCATCAACTGTCAAACATATCACCTCACCCCCCCCCCCCATTCTTCCAATCAGCTGACAGCTAGTAAACACACCATTTCACGTCCCATAATTTTAACTGTGCTGATTTATGAGTGTTTGTTTTAACATAATACTACAAAAAACAATGTTTTGTTTATTCTAGGAGATGGGCTGAGATGCATCTGGGTAGACTGTGGTTAACAAACGGGTCGGTTAACGAATTACCTTCCATAAGAATCTTCAATTCGGTTAAAGAACAAAAATTCGATTAACGAAATCCCTACGAACATCACGTTTTGTTGTGAGCATCAGTTGATTAGCTGATGGGCTAGTCTGCCAATTCAGTAATCTGTTCTATGTTTACATTCATTTCCAGTGGAGTAAATATCAGGAAAGTTGTGCTCTTTAATATTTTTGCATTTTTTATATTAAAATTATTAGTCATTTTAACATTCATTGAACATATTGATAATATATGCAATACAGGGAACTATTTTTTTTGTGCGCCCAACAGCAGCTTGACTCAGCCACAAGGCGTCTGTTGGGCTTTGTTGACAGTGAAGTGAACACCTATTTTGTTGGTGTCTTGAATATTTTTGCATTTTTCATTGAAATTATTGGTCATTCTGAAATTTAGTTAACATATTGATACAGTGAGTTCTGCTATAACGCGTGTTTTGATAACGCAAATTTGCTCTAACGCGATTTATGAATTCGGAACAATATTTGTATAACGCGAACGCTTGTTTGCTATAACGCGATTTTTGCTTACTATTTCTCCAATTTTGTGGTATTAACTGTCAATATGGTAAAGAAGAATATCTCCAAAAAGCGTTCTGATGATAGAATTCCCGGTGATTATCGTAAAAGAAAGGATATAACACTTGAAGAGAAGCTTGATGTTATCAACCTCAAAATCACCCTTCTCCCCCATCAAGTTACATTCATATTTTTTCAAGGTAAAGTGTTACATTTACTGTATGATTTCATTATTAGATATGAATGTAACATTTATTTAGACTGTGCTATCCTTTGTGTTAGGCTAACTACTAAATTTTTTCGATTTCGAGTAATCTGCACCTAACCCTATTTTCTCCATAAGCCCTGTTATTTCTATTACGCGATTTTCTATAACACGATATTTTACAAGAACACAATTATCGCGTTATAGCAGAACTACCTGTAATATATAGTGCAGTGCAGTTTTTATTTAAAGAAAATAATCTTGAATTGCACCTAGTGAAGTTAAAATTTTATTGGTGAAATGACGGCATCAAGCATGGGTCCACTGAAAGGTGATTTCTCCTCCATCCCCACTTTCTTCTTTTCTCCCTTCTCCTCCACCCCCACTTCTAATTCTCATCATCAAACAGGAACCTTCTACATACTCACCTCAAAATAAGTGTACTTTACTGCATTTTTTTTTTTTACTTTTTACGTAGCTTTCGGTGAGCTGGAACCAATTACCCAATATCCTATTGAAACAAGGGATTTGATTAACAAAATTTTCAGTTAACGAACAACCTTCTGGAATGAATTGTGTTCGTTAACCGAGGGATCACTGTATTTTGTGTTTCTCTCAAGTACCAAACTAAATTATTCCATTGAAACAACACTTTGATTTAGTGCAAATTTGGTTTAAAACAACCTCTTCTTGGAAAGTCTTGTGTTAAATCGACGTTCTACTGTGTATGAATAATTGAATGAGATAAAAAAGGGGAAAAAAGAACATGTTTTGGAAATATGGAGGTGGGAAGTAAGGGTGTGTGAGTACAGTGGGTTAGGCAGCCTTGACAGCCAGCAAGCATTCCACACGGAGGACCCGTCTGGGTGATACGTCATCCTGCAGGACCTTTAAATCAACTTACAAATTTTGTCACTATTTTTCCCTTGTTTTGTGGGTGATTTGAAAATTTTATTTTTTGTGATCAGGGGGCAAGCATAAGGTGTCTAGTACTGCAAACAGCGACAGGTTAATAAGACTGTAATAAGAACAGTTTGGCAGGGGCCTCCATCAGTTTTGTATCCATGGCCCCAACAGCTCTGGATCTGGTCCAGTGTAAGCGAGTACAGTAAATGAATAACGCGGAATCCCTGTACAATTATTCACTTAAAATGTGAAACTTTACGAATGCAACCTCTTCGTATATCAAGAATACATCTACAATATACACTAAATTATGCACTAGATTTTTCTTTCCTTTTTTTACTTAGAGCAAGGAGCTATTGGCCCTGAAGTTGACAAACTAGCTTACCAAACAGTTGATTATGCACAGTGATCACTCTTTGAAACAGCACATCTGAAGACCTACATATGTATATTACATAAGTCAACATGACAACACAAAGCCTCAAGTTACTGTCTAATGTCTTAAAGAAAATATTTACAGTAGATATCCAAAAGGTTACACTCACAGTAGAAGCAGAATGTTCATGCTGTGTACAGGCATACTGGAATATGAGGTGGATGATAGAGGTTTGAGTGCTATATAATCAGCGTCATCAAATGAACAGACTGGAGCATTTCAGGTTATTCTCACAGATAAACTCTCAAATCTGTGAAGAGGATACTCTGTTTAACAAATTTCATCAGGGTTATGGCCCCTAGATTTGTTGACTGTACAGAGTTCCAATACTGTATCCCAAAAAAGGTCATAAATATTTTGTCTTACCTATCAATCAACAAGCCTCTCAAGTGAGATGCCTGGGATGTATCCATTAGGAGCTTGGCCAGGTTAGTGAAGTTGATGCTCATCGTATTCTGGTATTCACACCGATCTACACTAAATATCTTTTCCTGCCAGTTGGGGTATAATTTCAAATTTCTGCAATAATGAATAGTGAAAGATATAAATAGAGATGTAGTATATGATACCTATGGAATATAATTATCTACAGTATTACAACTCTCTCTCTCTCTCTCTCTCTCTCTCTCTCTCTCTCTCTCTCTCTCTCTCTCTCTCTCTCTCTCTCTCTCTCTCTCTCTCTCTCTCTCTCTCTCTCTCTCTCTCTCTCTCTCTCTCTCTCTCTCTCTCTCTCTCTCTCTCTCTCTCTCTCTCTCTCTCTCTCTCTCTCTCTCTCTCTCTCTCTCTCTCTCTCTCTCTCTCTCTCTCTCTCTCTCTCTCTCTCTCTCTCTCTCTCTCTCTCTCTCTCTCTCTCTCTCTCTCTCTCTCTCTCTCTCTCTCTCTCTCTCTCTCTCTCTCTCTCTCTCTCTCTCTCTCTCTCTCTCTCTCTCTCTCTCTCTCTCTCTCTCTCTCTCTCTCTCTCTCTCTCTCTCTCTCTCTCTCTCTCTCTCTCTCTCTCTCTCTCTCTCTCTCTCTCTCTCTCTCTCTCTCTCTCTCTCTCTCTCTCTCTCTCTCTCTCTCTCTCTCTCTCTCTCTCTCTCTCTCTCTCTCTCTCTCTCTCTCTCTCTCTCTCTCTCTCTCTCTCTCTCTCTCTCTCTCTCTCTCTCTCTCTCTCTCTCTCTCTCTCTCTCTCTCTCTCTCTCTCTCTCTCTCTCTCTCTCTCTCTCTCTCTCTCTCTCTCTCTCTCTCTCTCTCTCTCTCTCTCTCTCTCTCTCTCTCTCTCTCTCTCTCTCTCTCTCTCTCTCTCTCTCTCTCTCTCTCTCTCTCTATATATGTAGATCCACAATATTGTAAAAAGTCATTACAATTATCACAACCAGTATTCGAGTGTACAATACTAAGTTAATCACTAAAAAGCCATAATTTTGAACATCATATTACTGTACTCAATTTGTACACAAATGTATTGCAGTAAAGGACAAAAAATTTTATCACTAGTGCAAACTATGATATGTTTATACTCAAATTAATTGCTGTCTTGCTGTGAATTCCAACAATGTAAGTTATATTCTGCTGAGTCAAGTCAGTGAAATTTTAGAAATGAAAAATTTTAAGCTTAAAACCAACTTTATCCAATAAAACCATTGTTACCTTCTGGCTGGGAGGAGGGTGGAGGGGTAGGTGACAGCCAGGAGGGGAGATTACCAGGTGCTTAGTTATCAGTGGAGGGGGGAGGGGGTCAGGGACTCAAGGATTAGGAAACGAAGAGAGTATAAGTTTTTTGCTTATAAAATGTCACTAACTTGACTTAGCAGAATATAACTAGGCATAAAAAATTTAATAATTAACTTAGTACAGTAGGGTCGGCATATATCGCAAGATAAGGTCCAAGGATGTTTGCTATATACTAAATTGTGATATATAATTACATGTAATCAATGGGGAAATTGGGTTAGGTTCTGGAGGCCAATAAAAGTGACAAATCTTGACATAAAATGGAACAGTCTAAAGTTAGCATAATATAAATTTCATTGCTGGAATCCTTGCAAGACAGTGAATAATTTGAATATAGACATCATATATTTTGCTCGAGATAAAAATTTTAGTCCTTTGTACTAAATGTACTAATTAGTACTAAAATTTGTATGTTTATTACAAACTATAGCATGTTTATATTCAAATTAATCACTATCTTACAAGAGTTCCAGCAATGTTAATTATATTTTCTTAAGTCAATTCATTGACATTTAATAAGAGAAAAACTTAAACTCCCTCTACAGTATATGACAGACAAATAAATACCATTAGGTAACCTTGGCCGGGGCCTGGCGAAAGCTGTCATAATACATCACCGCCCCCCTCCACATCTGGCAAGATTGAAAGTGGTTTTATGCTTAAGGTTTATATCTTATAAAATGTCACACACTAAAGTTAGCAGAATATAAATGAATTGCTTGAATCCTTGCAAGACAGTGGATAATTTGGATATAGACAGCATATATTTTGCACAGGAGTTAAAAAAATTTCAACTCATATTTTTGGGGCTATTTAGAGGATTTTTAGGAGTGTTTCTGACTTTATACGGTTTTTGGCTTGATGTGAGGTCCCAGGAACATAACCCCACGTAAGTTGTGAGTTTACTGTAAATAAATTTATCGCTATACAGTATATTGGAAAATGTCGATAATTTTGGTAGCCGCGATATAAAAAAATCATAATATAAAGTCGCTATATATCCCGACCCTACTGTACATCTGAGTACAGGTTGAAATAATTGTAATGATTTTTCTACAAATTTCATAGCATTATTGTTGACTTTTAGTAGTTGTGGAACATACAGTATGTTCTAATTTTCCCCACAAGATTAATTATTCACCATATGCGTCCCAAACCATTGAAGCTTCCAGACTATCAGGGCCAAGGATTAGCAGGGTCCAACCTGTATTGTAAATTTATCAAGTAACATACATAGAATGGTCATGTGACTGTACCTTAACGCTCTCAAGCTTTATCTTGGGTAGCACTATTTGCATAGGTGAAATGAATCACATCATTAAACTTTTAAGAAATTCAATTGTTTTTATTTAAAGACAATAAAATCAAATTTTTCTAGGTCACAGATCATGATCACATGATCATGCAAAAGAAGCTTACAGAAAGTACCACAGCATGGGTGGAGTTCTGCTGTTGTCCATCAGTTTCCTCCTGTCAGCTGTGCTGGTAGGTCACATTTGTCTCTTCATTTCTTCCCACCTTCCACAGAATTAGTCATATCAAAATTCCAAAGCTCAAAAAATTCCAGTTCTATACCAATAACAAACCTTGGGAGGTTTGAGAGAAAATATCTGAGATATGATGCTGGGATAATTTGGAAGCAGAATCAAGATGACCAAACCTCACGTGAATTGTTCCCAAATGTCTTTTGTCGTGGTCATAGAAACTTTACAACTAATTGTGTGTTCGAGAGAGTTAATACATGTACCTAAAATACATAAACTGAAATGTTATTAATTCTAAGCTAACCAAACAAATTAAAATTAGAAGAACACATACCTGTCCAGAACAACTCTGACACAGTCCTCTTCAAAGGTAAATATTACCCCCAAGCTCAGAGCAATTTCAGTCTTTGATGATACAACAATATTATCACCAACCTGTCAAAGAAATTTTTGCAAGTTAAGAGAAAAAGGCATTGAATCTTGGAGTTAAATTTTGTTTAAGTCTGGAGTGAATTATTTGTAATTATGAGTGACCATAATTCTAATGGCAGAGCCTGAACCGTCAATCCATTTCAGCTTGTTGTTGCCCATTTATACATTTTTTTTCTATTTTTAAGCAGTATTAAATCAATTCTAGGCAGTCTTCATTGAGAGTTATCTATAAAAAAAATAAATAAAAAAATAAAATAAAATAAAATAAAAAAATAAAAATTGACAATTTATCTTTCAGTCACTAGTCTATCTCGACTAACCATTTTTTTTTTACAGGGATTAGCCCACCCGAGCACAGGCCACTGACCCACATAAGAGGCCTGGGGGCGTAAAAACTTAATAATAATTACAATAATAATAATACAGTATTAACCCGCTTTACACGGTTTCACTTTACGCAATTTCTCATTTACGCGGTACCTTGCCAGAGCCGGACTTTCACATTCCGCCGTGCATCTACTCATATACGGGCGGTGAAGTATAATTTTATTTTATTTTATTTTATTTTTATTTAGCTCATAAAATTCATACAAATTACCCTGCCAGAATATAATTTACATTGCTGGAATTCTTACAATATGATGATCATTTTGAATATAAACATCATGGATTTTGCATTAGACATACAAATTTTAGATCAAATGTAATAATTTGGTTTAAACAAAGGAAATATTTTATCTATTGTGGAAAATATATGAAGTTTGCATTCAAAATATTCCCTGACCTGCAAGGAATCCAGAAATGTCAATTATATTATCCTAACTTTAGTCTGAGGTATTATTTATTACTAAACGTTAAAATCTAGTGGTTTCACGCAAACATTTCTCAGAGAGGTAGGAGCTAGTGAGCTGGGAAGAGGGGGGGGAGGGATTTGAGTCCATTATTTGAATGGACATTAACCTGGCGACTGTATTTCTCTTAAATATTAATTGTGTGAGCATACCATCATAAAATTTAGATGTTATTTTTACTACAACATAGGTATTGTGTCGGAAAAAGTGGAGTTTGGGGGTCAGGCCAGTCTCTATTGGAATTAATCCCATATGTTCTGTTGTTCACTTTACGCAGTTTTCACTTTCCGTGGTACCCTGTGGCTCCCCCCCTCTTCCCACACTCGCTGGGTCCCTCCCTCCCTCCCTACCCCCCACCCCCACCTTCCCTCCCTACCAGAGAAATGTTTGGGTTAAAACAGTATATTTACATTTTTAGTAATAAATAATACCTCAGACTAAAGTTAGGATAATATATTAACATTGCTGGATTTCTTGCAAGACCAGGAATATTTTGAATAGTCATGCGCCGGTTAACTTCCTAGATACGTTCTTGGAAATGTGACGTTAACCGAAATGGACGTTGTCCAATCATCACAAACTTTTTATTTATACTTACGTGTATGTGGAATAATATATACGTACACATACACTTTTACTCTTAAATCACGACTGTAATGTGATACAGGTGATTAATTTTTATCTCTTGTGCAAAATACATGACATTTATACAAAATTATTCACTGTTTTACAAGGATTCCAGCAACGCCAAGCAGATGGGGAAGAGAGGGTGGGAGCGAGCGAGGGGGCGTGGGGGGAGGGGAGGTAGTACGTTTAACAGTTGGCACAGGCCCAGGTCTAACGCGTGTATATTTATCAGTTCTTGGGTGACTAAGCTTCTCTCTTATAAAAAGCCAGTGAAATGACCTAGGTGAATATAATTAACATAGCTGGGATTCTTGTAACATACTGATTAATTTGAATATAAACATGCTATAATTTGCACTAGACAAAGCAATTTTAGTCCCGTAATCAAATTAGTACATGTGCACTCCAACCTTGCACTAAGGTCATTTATTTCTATTATGTTTCTTTTAGTATGGTGTGTGCATGTAAATGGATGAGAATAAATGAAGAAATCTATGTAAATCTACCCAAAAATACAGTTGAAAAACTTTTTCTAAAATTTACTTTAGTATTGTACACTAATGTACTACATTTTTTTATCTTGAGCAAAACATATGACACTTATATTCAAATTAATCTCTGTCTTGCAAAGATTTCAGCAATGCAAATTATATTATCCAAACTTTAGTCTGAGATATTATATAAAATAATCATAAAGAAATCACCAATCTTTTATCTTGGAACACGAGGGTGGCGGGAAGAGGGGGGGGAGGAGGCGGGAGGTGAGGTGAGGTGACAGAATGTCTGGCGTTTGTTTGTTTATTTATTTGAGATAAGATTTGACAGTTGGCGCTGAAGGCCTGCCTGCGTGTTTATTTACCATTACTTAAGAGTGACTAAGCTCTTCCCATAATTTGCCACCCAAACGACCTGGGTGAATATAACTTACATTGGAGGGATTCATGTAAGATAGTAATTTGTTTGAATACCTGTATAAACAACCTATATTTGCAATAGACATAACAATTTTAGTACCGTAAGAATTTAGTACATGTACAATACAGGTTTGCACTTAGGTCCATTGTTACTGTACAATATTGACTAAATTCACTAGATAACGTACGCCTGGCCGGACAATCTAAAGAATACGCGATGCATACGTGACTGTGCCCGCTCTAGGTCCATTTCGGTTCACTAGGTCCCATTACAGTTGTACCCCACTTAACGCGGTCAATAGAACCCAGAGGGTCCCGCGTTAAGTGAAATCCACGTTAAGTGAACAACAGAACATATGGGATTAATTCCAATAGAAACCAGCCCGACCCCCAAACTCCACTTTTTGAAGACACATAACTATGTTGTAGTAAAAATAACATCTTAATTTTATGATGGTACATGCACACAATTAATACTTATGAGAAATAGAGAAATACAGTCGCCAAGTTAATGTCCATTCAAATAATGGACTCAACTCCCTCCCCCTCTTCTCACACAACACTGCTGGCTCTTCCCTCTTTGAGAAATTTTTGGGGGAAAACCACTAAATTTTAATAAATAATACCTCAAACTAAAGTTAGGATAATACAATTGACATTGCTGGATTCCTTGTAAGACCAGGAATATTTTGATATAAATGTCATATATTTTGCACAAAAGATAACATATTTACTTAGAGAAAACATTTAATCTAAAATTTGTATGTCTAATGCAAAATATATGATGTTTATATTCAAAATGATCACCAAATTATAAGAATTCCAGCAATGTAAATTATATTCTGGCCGGGTAATTTGTATGAATTTTATGAGCTAAAACAGGCAGTCAGGCAGGGTGGCGGGTGGGGCAAATCTAAAAATAGCGTCTCGAGCCGGACACTCACCACGTATATGTGGAAAAAATCCGTGTTAAGTGAAAGTTCAGCTCTGGCGAGGCACCGCGTATATGAAAAAACGCGTTAAGTGAAACCGCGTTAGGCGGGGTAATACTGTATTTGAATGTTTTTTTTTTCAATTTAAATTTTAATTGTTTATTCCTTGATAGAGGAAGCGGGATCCTAGTGCTGTCACTTGGTACCCCTGTACCATAACACCAGAAGCAACTGGCCAGTGTCACAAGTATATACAGGTTGTACCTCTCTAGTCCGGCAACCTCGGGACCTGACCGGTGCCGGACCATGGAAATTCACCCTTTTCCTGGATAGATAGTCACTTGTGCTTATGCTTGGAAGCACTAGCACCACTTTCTCTGCATCATGGCCTCTTTAAAGACATATTGAAGGGTTAAATGTCGTATAGTAGCTTCTCAAATTTCGCAAGTTTTTAATTCTTAACGTATTTTATTGGAACACACAAATAAATAAAAATTTTGACGGCGGAAACTTGAATTTCGACGGGTTTGAACGGCCCGCCAACATGCAGACGACGTGCATAATCGTGTAAACAGCGTCATTTCTCTGATGTACAAAAGATTCATTATTGTTTATTACTGAATGTCTTTTTTATTGAATTAATGTTTATGTGTGCAAAATGAGCAATACAATTCATAAATAATACGTAGAATATTAAAACACACGAGGAAATGACACAGCATTGTTTTCGTTGATTACAAAACCAGTGACTGACTGGTTCTACATATAAAACTGAAGAAAATAAGACTTTGGCTGTAGCTGTAGTAAAATTAATATGGTTGTTTTAAGTTATGTTATTTAATGTTAATAAATGGAACAATAGAAGTAGCTAACGATAATGGTAAAGAAAAAAGAGAGATCGCGTATGTAAGTGCGCATGCGCACACATGAAAACATATCGTCATTACTTTACATAAGAATATGAAAGCAACACTTATTTACTATTCATATATATTTTAATTAATGTTTCTGAATTTGTTTTTATTGAATTAATGTTTGTGTGTGCAAAATTAACAATACAATTTATTAATACTACGTGCAATATTAGAGGAGACGAGACGGCTGCCGGCATTGTTTATGTTAAAGCTTACAAAACCAGTGACTGATTGGTTCTACATATAAAACTGAAGAAAATAAGACCCTGATTTTAGCTGTAGTAAAATTAATGTAAAAAAATTAATATGGTTGTTTGAAGTACCTGTAATGTTATTTAATGTTAATAAATGGAACAATATAAGTAGCTAACCATTAATGGTAAAAAAAAAAGTGAGACTGCGCGTATGTAAGTGCGCACATGTGAAAACATATCGTCATTACTCTACATAAGAATATGAAAGCAACACTTATTTACTGCTCATATATATTGAAGGGTTAAATGTTGTACTCTGTATAGACAAGCAGAGAGAGAGAGAGAGCAGCCGAACTGCCGGATGTAAACAAACCTTAATTTCCCGCGGCTTTGTTTTTTTTTTTTAAGGGGATTAGCCCACCCGGGCATAGGTCACTGACCCACATTGGGGCCTGAGGGGCAAAAATTTAATACTCCTGTAATAATAATAATTCAGATAAGTAAAAAAAAAAAAAAAGCTGCCTATCTACCTATTGGACAAACTAAAATCGTTCCGGACCACGGGAGTTTC